TGAAATACTGGGGCCTTCTTCCCACTCCTTGGAAGTGGGAAGACGCATCCAGCTGCTGGATCCCAGCAATCCCACAGCCAGAGGCACCTGGAATGTGTTGATGGGAAAAGGGGAGCAAAGGTGCTGAGCTACAGGTAGGTGAGAGACTCATGAAACAAAGCAAAAATCAAGGGCAAATCTGTTTTAATACGTGGGATATGGCCTGTGGGCATTCCCCAGCCCCATCCCAGAGCCCCTAAAAAGGGGGTTTGTGGCATCTCCTAAAAAAACCCTCCATTTGGTTTGGGAAGGCTGGGAAAAGCTCTCCTCAAACACAGCGTGACAAGGACCAGGCAGTGCAGCAGCAACTCCGAGCTCACAGCAAGTCTTGGCCCCATCTTCCACCCATCTCTCTCCCTCCCAGCTGCCAGAATTCCCTCTGGGATAGCAGGACAGACCAGACAGGTCATCAGTGAGCCCCCCTGGCTGGGAGAGCCATGGTGAGACCACAACGTGGCCCCAGAAGATGAAGCAAACCAGGAGGAGATCCGGACCTGAGCAAGCTGAAGATGTCCCTGCTCATCGGTCTAGAACATCCCTTCCAAACCAAAACCAAACCAAACCAAACCACCCTGTGCTTCCAGGACCTTCCAGCACGAGTTGGTTTCCCCCTCCTTGTCTCCTTCCCGCAGCACCAAACCATCCCTATCCATCCCAGCTGCTCCATGGGGACATCCTGTCCCTGTCCCACTGGGCTGGGAGCCACCTGAAGCCTCAGGGCATGTTGGCTCCAAATCCAGCTGGAGCCACGGAGAGACAAAGGAACCTTGTCCCACAGCGCTGAATCATCCCATCATATCCCGCTCCCGCCCGCACCGGCAGGGATTTGGGGAGGATTTGCCTCCTTGCAAGTAGGAAATGAGCCACGTTCCTGTTTTTAAGGGCAGAACCGTCGGGATTTTGCTGAATTCCCAGCTTCCCAAACTCTCTCGTGCCTTCGACGAGGGATGGATCTTTTCCTAATCCAACAAAACGCCAGAGCAGTAAAATTTGGAGGGAGAAAGGAGCGTTATCCCATTCCCAAAGCTCCACCAGCTGCAACCTTCCCCCCCCCCCACGATCCTCCCCCAGGGCACCGAGCCAAACCCTCGGGAACAGCATCTCCCAGCAGCCAAAACTCCACCTGAGCAGCAAAATTCCTCCTTCTCCCAGCAGCCAAAACTCCACCTGAGCAGCAAAATTCCTCCTTACCTCGGGCTGAGCCGTCAGCCGGGACACAAATCCATGGGAATGCGGGGAGCGCTGCCTGCTCCAGCTCCTCGGCCGCTTTATTTACTCACTCCTCGGGAAGGGAGGGGAAAGAAAACTCGAGGAAGTGCCGTTCCTCTCCCAAGGTGCACCGCAGAACATTCCTGGTGGCCATGGAAACCCCTGGCACGATGCCACGGATTGGCCGCCCTCCAAATTTCGGGCAGCGCCGCTCAACCCCTGGAGACGGCTCCTAAATTAGGGATTTCAAGGGAAGCGGGATGAGGAGGCTGCCGCTCCCTGCCGGCAAAAAAAAAAAAAATTCGGGATGGTCCCGAATTTGCCTTCAGCTCCGGAGGGAAAGTCGTTGGTGCTTGTGCTGAACCGGGCAGCGAGTTGTGATCCAAACAAATTCGGCTCCCACGCTTCTCCAAAGGGAGAATTCCCGGCCACAGACCGCGGGGACAACGGGAAAGCTCCAAACGTCTGAAGGGAAGCTGCAGAGATGAAGGGAAAAATAGGTCACTGGGATTTAAACTTCGGACAGAGGGATTTAAGAGGGTCCATTCCTCTCTTCTCCTGGTTTTTCCATTTTCTGGCTCCCAGGTCTTCTTACCTGTCCTGGGGTTTCCAACTGCAGCCAGAGGGATTTAAGAAGCTCCATCCTTCCCTTCTGGTTTTCCCCTTTTTCTGGCTCCCAGCTCTTTTTCCTTGCCCTGGAGTTTCAAACTGCATCCCAAAGGATTTAAGAAGCTCCATTCTTCCCTTCTCCTGGTTTTTCCCTTCTCCTGGCTCCCAGCTCTCCTCCCTGCCCTGGGGTTCCCCCCTCTTTGCTCCTGGTTGGGCTGAGGAGCGATGGGGTCTCCCTGGAAATCTCCACTGGACATCCTCCCATTCCCAGTTTTTATTGCTGGGATGCTTTGTAGGATTAGGAAAGGATGGATCTGTGTTTAAAGACCCAGGATAGTTTGGGGAGCTGGGAATTCAGCAAAATCCCATCATATAAAACAGGATGGAGCTCCTATTCCTACTTGGATGGAGACAAATATTCCCGTGGGTTGGGACCTCACTGCTCTGGGGGAAGAGTGAGGAGAGCAGGGAAAGCCTGGAAGGGATTGTTGGAAGGCACTGGAGCTCTGGGATTGGGTGGACAGGGATGATCCCACACTCAGCAGGAAAGGGGACCCTCCATCATCCCTCAGATCCCTTATTCCCACTCAGGCACAAGGTCCTTTCTCCCTGCCCCTGTGTCCATCCCCACGGCTCCAGGGGGCTCCAGAGCACATGGAGGGAGGGAAGCAGCAAATTCCCTCTTCAGGGGCCTCCTCACAAGAGAGATTCTCCATTAAAAATCTCTCTTTAGAAATCCCAGCACCAATAAACCCGGGATAAAGGCAGGAGAGACTCCCTTCCCTCCTCCCTTCCCGTGTTTCCAGGCATTTCCAGGGCACTCCAGACCTTCTCCCATCATTCCAAACACAGGCAAACCAAGAAGCCCCAGGATGGGGGAAGCAGCTGAGGCAGGAAAAACCCACAGCCTCTCTGAAATGAAATGAAAAGAAGGTACAAAGTGCTGAAAGTCTTCAGCTTTCCCCAAAAATTCCACTGCACTGACCCACCTGGAGAATAAGGAATGTGGAGGATGGAAATTAAGAAGGATCAGGTTGGTTTGGGCTATTTTCACTCAGCTCCTGCCCCCAAGCAGTGGTTTGGTGCCACTGACAGGTCCAGCTCGTGAGCATGTGGAGAGGAAAGAAGTCCTCAGGAGCTGCAGGAAATCACAGTTTGACTTGCTCAGAGTACACTCCAAACCAAAACAAAACTCCCAAACCACTCTCAGAAGCAAAGGATGGAGCAGTCTGGAACTCCTAGCCCATGTGGAACTCCCAGAAGAAGTGGAACTCCCAGCACTAATAATCCCCTGCAGCCTGGAAACAGCATTCCAGAACTTTTCCTCCGTGTGACCCAGAGCAAGGCAGGTGCATTCCCATAAAATCCCCTTTAAAAACAAGCAAACACTGGTATTTCCACAACATTTTCCAGAGGGGAACAATCCCATAAGCAGGGCTGGCCTGATTTCCCATGGATTTATACCTGGGAAGATTCAGGCACAAACAAAAGCTCCCCATCCTGGCTGGTCACAGCTTCCCTGGATCCTCTGCTGTCCACCAGGAATTATCTCCGTGCTCTACTTCCCTCCACGAGGACTGCAACTGGTTTAATTTGTTGACCCAGCACCCAGTTTTTAAGAAATTAAATACACAACATTTCCTTCATCTCTCCCAGAGCTTTATCCCAACGGAGCTGAACTGAAACATCAAATTTTAGAATTCCAGGGGAGGGAAAGGGAGGTGGAGGGAGGAGGAGAAAGGCAAGAGAAGGCTATCCAAAAGCCTCATTTCTTTAAGGAATTCAGCTGCAAAGCATTCAAACCAGCTGGGTGAGCCAATCCTTGGGATCTTGGAGCTCCCAGATTGGATTTTCAGCGGGAAGGAAGGACCGAGCTGCTCAGCTTGGGAGCAGATGTGGAATTCGCTGTCTCGGTGCTGCCACCGCCTGTTGTTTGCCGATGTTGTTTGCCTTCCCTGTCCACTGCTCCGCGATTCCTGTACCTGTTTTCCAGGCAAATTCCCACTATCTCAACTCTCAGCCCCGCTGTGAGTCCTCCAAAGCATCACTGGCATCATTCCCCCCTCCTCTGATCTTCCCAATCCAATCAGAAACGCAAAGCTCAAAGCTGGACAGTCCATTTGAGCTTCTAAAATATTCATTTCCTAAGGAGCTGGTTTTTTTTTCTCCTGGAATTGTGCTTGGTTCCCTAAAATTGCTGGAGCACAGTAGCAGAAGTGATTTGATCCTCCTGGATCTCGGTGCTTATTTTCTTCCCTGAAATCCCAGGTTTCTCCCAGTAAAGAATCCCACAATCCTCTTCCCAGATACCTTCAGAGATCAAGTTTAAACCAAAGGAGAGTGGGATTAGGTGGGATATTGGGAAGGAATTCTTGGCTGGGAGGGGGGTGAAGGACTGGAATGGATTTTTTTCCCAGAGAAGCTGTGGCTGCCCCTGGATCCCTGGAAGCATCCAAGGCCAGGCTGGAGCAACCTGGGCTGGTGGAAGGTGTCCAGGGGGGTTGGAACTGGATGATCTTTAAGGTCCCTTCCAACCCAACCCACTCTGGGAATCTTTGATTCCACGAAGTCCAGGTGAGATTGGGGATTCCAAGATCCTTCAGGAGCGAAAGATGCTTTTAAAATCTCCAGATCTCCACCACTCATCTCCAGTACCCCTGGGATGGGGGAGCTCTGATGCTGCTGATGCATCAGCTTGGCTTTCATCCCTCTTTTTTTATTAAGGACAGAGAATTCCCTCACCAAACCAGGAGCAAAGCAAGGGCACCAGAGCTGGAGTCACTCAGGCAGCTGTTCAGAAATACATAAAAAAAGAGGAAAATCGGGGTTTTAATGGTGCATTTCCTTCCTCTGGGTGGGCAGGGAGAGCTCCCAGCTCTCCTTTTCTCCTGCATCTCCCCCTCTCCAAGCCTGGCCTGAGGAGCAGCCGAGCTCTGTAAGTGACACCGGGCTAATTAATTAATTAACGACTGCCCGGCGTCGGCTCCGCGGCTGCTGGGATAGAGAGGCAGGAAGGAAAAGAGGGCTGGGACAGCCCCGAGCTGCCGCTGGGAAATGCTGAGGGCTGCTCCGAGCTGCCTGCCCTGATTCCTGAGCTTGCCCTGCCTCGGGCTCAGCCGGAGAAATCCCGGGAAAAGGAGAAGATGGCGTGGGATGCAGCCCTGCAGCATCCTCCGTCCTGGCTGGGATCCTCCGCCCTCCTCCTGTCCTGCTCCGGGGCTGCCGTGGCTCAGCTGATCGAGGTAAGGAGAGGAGCGGCTTTCCCGGGGGTCGGGATGGGCCGGGAATGGGGGTTTTCCAAGCAGGATGGGCGGCAGGGGGAGTTAAAGTGGCCCCAAGGGGTTTGGAGGTTCTTGTTGCTTCCTGCAGGCCCCCCCCTCCAAAAAAAAAAAAACTGGGAAGAAGGAGCTTTTAAAGGGTTGAAGCCACAGCACAGCGTTTTTTAGCCCAGCTCCAACAAGTGTCACCTGTCAGGGATTCGGGGGGAGCTGGGAAAGACCAGGAATGATCCCGGTGATGCCATCCCTGGATGCACCTGCCCAAGGGAAAGGTTTGGGGGCGTTTTCCTTCTTCTTCCCTCCCTCATTCCCCCTGGCTCGGCACGAAGATGAACTCTGGAGGTGACATTCCTGCCCCAGCTCAGCTCCAGAGCTTTTCCCTGAGGATGACTGTGCACTCCCACGGCCCCAGCTCCCTCTGGAAAGGCTGGGATGGAGGGAAAAGCAGCTTCACAAGGCCTGCCAGAAGGGAAAATTCCTGCTTGGAAAAACTGCCCTCCAGAATTACAGCTGCCAACAGTTTTGCAGCTGGGGGGTCCAACCACTGCCCAACCCTCCTGCAGGTCCCTGCCTGTCTCGCTGTAAAGCGAATTAATTCAAGATTTTCAGACAGATCCCTCTTTAACTGGGCCATAAGACCCTCAGCAAGGGAGGCAGGGACCTAAAACTCCTTTCCAAACTCACAGACCGGGCTGCTGAAAACATAATTCCCAGTTTTCCCGAGCTGTTCAGCCTCTCTCAAGGTGACAAGCCAGGCAGAACTTTCTCTGACAGAGCACATTTCCCAAAACATGCTCCACTGAGCCCGTGCAGACACAGCATCCACCCACCAGGACGTTCCCTTTCCTTGCATCCCAGGCACACGTTTTACAGGAACTGTCCTCGTGCCAAAAGCCAAACAAAGAGGAACGTCAGAATTGTTATAAACCAGGTGTCAGTTTAGGCTCTGCTTTATTAAACCAGACTTTCTTCATCTGAGGCTCCTGCAAGGGCTTTTTTTTTTTTTTTTTTTTTTACTTTCAATAATGAGATAATTGGGTTGTCCTGAATAATTCAATTTTGTGCTAAGCCAGCCCAGCAGAGCAAACAGAGAAGGTCAAAGGGGCTGGACATCAAAACATTTCCCTCAGCTAAAAAAACAAACAAACAAACAACCCAAAAAGGAGAAGTAAAGTAAGCAGAAAATGTGTTTGTTTGGTTTTTTTAATGGTGTTCGAGTTGTTTTGCAAATTCATTTCCAGCTGGGAGAGAAGGGGCAATAAAAGCCTCTGAATATTGAATTTAATTGCATTGGCAAAAAGCTCTCAGAGACCTCCTGGGGGAATTCTCAGTCCCCTGGGGTGGAAGTTGAGCTGTGCAAGGGTTAGGAACTTCTCCTGGCACTGGGGGAATTTGGAAATAAAATCATGGAATCCTGGGGTGGTTTGGGATGGGAGGGACCTTAAAGACCCAGTTCCAGCCCAGGGACACCTCCCACTAGCCCAGGATGCTCCAACCTGGCCTTGGACACTCCCAGGGATCCAGAGGCAGCCACAGCTTCTCTGGGAAATCCATTCCAGTCCCTCCCAATCCTCCCAGCCAGGAATTCCTTCCCAATATCCCATCCAAACCTACCCACATCCAGGCCTTTCAAACTCATCCATGTGCTCAGACATTGTCAGCTGCTAAATAAACACCTGGAATTTTGGGAAAAGGCCCTTTTCCAGCATCACACCAAAGCTCTGGCACCAGGAAAACTGAGGAGAGGGAGAGAGAGAGGGAAGGGAGAGGGAGAGGAGAGGAGGTGGCTTTGCCTTTTTCTCCCCCTTTCCTGGGACTGCTCCCAGAAAACACGACCCATTCCATGAAATTCCTGGGGCACTGGCACAACTCCTCAGCTTTCCACCTTGCCAAACATTCCTGCTAGGATAAATGATGCTTTTTGGGAAGCAGGGAGCTCCCACAGGCAGCAGGTTGTAACATCCCTGCTCGCCTCCAACGTGCCCAAGGGATGCTCTGGAAACCTCCCTGGAAACAGGGAGGGAGGGAAATCCACATTTACAGCACCTCTAGAACAGAAATTTCCTCTTCTAAAGGTCAAGATAACCCTCATCACTTCTTCTGTTCATCCCTCTTTGGGGCCAGAGCTGAAAATCCCAGAGCTGAAAATCAGAGCTGAGAGAATCCCAGGATGGTTTGGGATGATCCTTCAGGTCCCTTCCAAACCCAACCATTCCATGATTCCATCTGCAATTCATCCCACTTAAATTCACTCATTATGACTTTTTTTTTTTCCCCCTAAATACACCATCCCATTTTATTGACCTGGGAAGGACACCCAGATCAATTATTTATTAGAATTCCCCCTTTGGACTCGGGGATTCCTGGAGGTCTTTCCAACCTCAGGGATTCTGGGATCATTCCTGCATTTCCAGTGTTGCATTTGGACTGTGCCAGGGCTTGGGTGCCCTCAGCAGATACATTTTTCCCTGGTGGATGGATATCCATGGCCAGATTCTCCATCTCCTGCTGAGGAGGAAAGGCAGGGAGAGAACATTTCTGGGTTTATTTAAAGCTCCATCCGTGCCTTTGGGATGTGGAACCAAATGCAATCAGGGATAAATATTGCTCATTTTTTCAGAGCCCAGCCCTTGCTCAGGGAAACAGCAACACCAATCAAGCCTAATTAGAGGGGACATTACAAAAAAAACCTCAAAAAGTGATGCCTTTTACTATTTTTCTTCTCTGCTGCTCAAATAAAACTCCTGAGTCCAACAACTCCCTCCTTTCCCACTGGGAATGATCCCTCTGCTTCCCCCCCAGCACCACCACTGACAGGTCCCACCTGCCTGGAATGAATCAGAAGAGAGCAATAAGGATATTTTTAATTATTTTTGGAGTTAGAAGAACCGGTGTCAAACCGTTCTGACCTAAAAAAAAATGCAACTTGCCTTGGAATGACTGAATGGTTTGGGATTTAGGAGATGTTTTGCAGCCCTGAGTTTCCAGTGCCAGATCCAGCTCCTTATGGAGGAGGTTTTTTTTCACCCCCCAGCCCTTTTTGGGCACTTGGAGAAGCAGAAGAAAGACCAGGATATCAAAATACTCCAATTCGGGGTAGTAACAACCCCCCAACCCCTGCCAGGGAGCCACTGGATCCCTGGGACACCCCAAAAATCCTCTTCCCTGCTCCTGATCCCAGAGATCAAGCACAGAGTTGGTCTCAAGGGCAGGATTTATTTGCTCTAATTTGGGACTCCAGAAACTGGGCACCCAAATCTGAGCTTGACACTGAAGGCTCTGCTCAGAATCCCTGAAATAATCATTTATTTATGATTTATTACCAGCTCTAGAGAAGTTTCCTCAGGGAAACCCAAGATGGTTTGGGTTGAAAGGACCTTAAAGCTCATCCCATTCCAACCTTCCACCAGCCCAGGTTGCCTCACTATTTCTCCCTGGAGTCGGTTCCCCTTCCCTAAAACCTGGATCTAACCTAATTTTGGGCGCTGTGCCATGTTCCAGAGAGTGCAGGGACTTCCCTGAACATCACCTGGAATATTCCCCAACCCTACATCATTTTTACCTCCTCTGCATTTCAGTTCAGGCTCCTCAGCCATCATTTTCTCTCCTCTACAAACACATTTAAACCCCAACATTTTTAGCCCAGAGCTTGCTGGTTATTCCTTTCTGCTCCTTCCCAGTTCTTCCTGCAGTCCCATCCCTATGGAACTCTGGTGGCAACGTTGCACTGAGGTTGCTCCCAGGTGTGTTTGCATCTTTTCCTTTGGTACATTCCCATTTTCTTGCCTTCAAAAGCCTTTCCCTGTTGAATGATCCCCTGAGAGCTGCCAGTGCTGCTTCTTTCCTGAATTTTCCGTGTTCCCAACAGTTCCTCCATCTAAGGATGACTCCCTGAAGCCTGATATCCTCTGGAGAAGATTTCTCTCCTTCCTCCTTCCAGCCCTCTGGAATTCTTTTGTTCAGTGCCACTGCTTTGTATGGATAAAGCAATGTCCATATTCCACTTATGGACCACATTCCATCCCCTTTGATGGAATTCTGGGGGGATTTTCTCTCCATTTTCCAGGTCTGGACCACATTCCATCCCCTTTGATGGAACTCTGGGTATTTTTTCCATTTCTGGACCACATTCCAACAGACTTGATGGAACTCTGGGGGGTTTTCCCTCCATTTTCCAGTTCTGGACCACATTCCATCCCCTCTGATGGAACTCTAGGGAGTTTTTCCCTCCATCCTTCACTTCTGGACCACATTCCATCCTCTTTCATGGAATTCTGGGTGTTTTTTTTTCCTTTCCCTGCATAAGAATCCCCTTGTCCCAGTTTCATTTCCCTTCCTCACACCTTATCCCTCTATCCCAATCCAATCATTCCATTCTCCTGACGTTTATCACGGAGCACAGGTCAGTGACTCCAAACCCTGATATTTATTCCCCAGGCACCAATCAACAGCTCCAAGTCTTGACATTTGATTTCCAAGCACAAACCAGCACTTCCAAGTTCTTGAAGCTCCTAAAATTCCTTCCACTAGGATGGGGTTTTGTTCCCCCCTCACTGTGTCACCTCCAAAAGCAAAGAGGACCAGACATGGTAATTCCTTCAAAATTATCCATAATCTGGTAGCAAGTCCTCCAATCATTCTCCATCCTGCTTCCAGAGTGATCCAGAGTCTCAGACTGCCCTACTGTTGCCCCACAATTGCTGTGGATCCCATGTCAGCACATCCCTTCCCATCTGGTTTCATTCCCAACCTTTTACTACTCCAAGAGTTCTCATCATTCCTTCAGACTGGAGAATATTTAACTATCAAAGGAATTCCTACTACACAGAATGATTAAATTTGGAAAAGGCCTCCAAGATCTTCATGTCCAACCTCTGACCAAACACCACCACCTCAGCTAAACCACCCTGAGCACTTCCAGGGATGGGGACTCCCCACCTCCCCGGGCATCACATTCCAGTTCCTCTCTCCCTTTCCCAGTTGTCCATCAGAGACAAGTCTGGAAGGAAAGACCCATCCCTTGGATAGCTGAGCTCCCCAAACTCACCAAAATAAATAAAAGTGAGGTGTCTGCCGTGGGTCAGATTGAGGCTTGCCTAGAGGGCAACCCATGCTGGGATCAGGAGTGAGGAAAGCTGATCCAAGGCAGGAAGGAAATTTAGATCTCTGGGGTCAAGGCATTAACTAGACAGAATTTTCTGACCCTGAAACTGTGCCCTGGTCCCTCCTCCCAGGGCTTTGTCCACTGCAGCTTCTCCAATTCCACCTCTTCGTTGCTGAACAAGTCAAAATAAATCCTCCAGGTTAAAAGGGAGAACTTTTGGTGTCAGATCCCACAAACTCCTCCCTCTATGGTCCTCCCAGGTGCCCCTCCAAGATCTCCCCGCTCTGACCACCCTTCCTTTTCTCCCTTAGGAGCAATTCTGCTTTTTGATCCAGTCCCTGTGCAGTGGGGAAAGGGAGACGCCCCAAATTCCAATGCCGGCTGAATTCCAAGCAGCCAGGAGCGCTGGGGAGGGGCAGGCTCAGCCAGTCCCGTGCACACAGATGGATTGTGAGCAGGATCCCCCGGGAGACAAAGCACTCCAGACGCTGCAGGAACCATCCTGCATTAGGAAGAGACTGAAATGTGGTTTGTGCTGCACGGAGAGAAGTAATTGGAGAGCAGCTCCAGCTCGGATTCACTCCGGGATATCCATTTACAGCCGGGCTGAAGAGCACTGGGATGGGCTGGGACAGGAAGGGCACAGCAGGGAATCACATGTTGAGGAGGGTTTTTTTTTAGAAATGAAGTGTTTTCAGCTTTTATCAACTTTTTACAAGGCCCAGGAGCAACAGGACACGGGGAATGGCTTCCCACTGCCAAAGAACAGGGTTAGATGGGAGATTGGGAAGGAATTCCTGGCTGGGAGGGTGGGGAGGGGCTGGAATGGATTTTCCAGAGAAGCTGTGGCTGCCCCTGGATCCCTGGAAGTGTCCAAGGCCAGGTTGGAGCACCCTGGGCTGGTGGAAGGTGTCCCTCTCAATTCCCTGACTTTTGGGAGCAGCTGGATCCCAACGTTTGGGCCTTTCCCTCCTTCCCTCCTTCTCCCACCCCCCCAGGGCAGGAACCAGCACAGTGGCACCGGTGGAGAAGCAAATGAAACACCCCCCATTTTACTTGGAAGCCTGATTTTAAAAACCTTTTATGGTCAGGAATATAAGGAATAATATGGAAGAAATAATATGCAAGGAATAATATACAAAGAAAAATCCGAGGGAAAAATCTGAGGGAAAAATCTGAGGGAAAAAATAAAATACATAAGAAACATAAAAGAAAAAATTATAAGAAATGTATAAGGAAAATATGTTAAAAAAATAAGAAATGTATAAGAAAAATATGTAGAAATATAAGAAATATATAAGAAAAATATGTAAAAAAAATAAGAAATATATAGGAAAAATATGTAAAAAAATATAAGATGTATAAGAAAAATATGTTAAAAATATAAGAAATATATAAGAAAAATATGTAAAAAAAAGAAATATATAGGAAAAATATGTAAAAAATAAGAAATATATAGGAAAAATATGTAAAAAATAGAAGAATATATAGGAAAAATATGTAAAAAATATAAGAAATATATAGGAAAAATATGTAAAAAATATAAGATGTATAAGAAAAATATGTAAAAAAATATAAGAAATATATAAGAAAAATATGTAAAAGATATAAGAAATATATAGGAAAAATATGTAAAAAATATAAGAAATATATAGGAAAATATGTAAAAATAAGAAATATATAAGAAAAATATGTTAAAAAATAAGAAATGTATAAGAAAAAATATGTAAAAATATAAGAAATATATAGGAAAAATAGGTAAAAATATAAGAAATATATAGGAAAAATAGGTAAAAATATAAGAAATATATAGGAAAAATATGTAAAAATATAAGAAATATATAGGAAAAATATGTAAAAGATATAAGAAATATATAGGAAAAATATGTAAAAATATAAGAAATATAAGAAAATATGTAAAAATATAGGAAACATATAAAAATTAGAAAAATATAAAGTATGTAGAAAAATATAAGAAATAATCAGAAAAAATATAAGAAATATATAAGAAAAATAGGTAAAAATATAATATATAAGAAAATAATATAAAAATATATTATATAAGAAAAAGATCAGAAAGATGATAGGAAAATATAAGAAAATGTGTAAAACGTAAGAAAAAGCATAAGCAAAAAATAAGGGAAAAAATAAGAAAAAAGAGACAAAATAAAAAGAAAAAAGGAGAAAAATAAAATATAAGAAAAAAGAGAAAAAGTAATATAAGGAAAAATAATATAAGAAAAATAATATAAGAAAAAATGTAAAAAATAATATACGAAAAAATAATATAAGGAAAAATAATATAAGGAAAAATAATATAAGGAAAAATAATATAAGGAAAAATAATATAAGGAAAAATAATATAAGGAAAAATAATATAAGAAAAATAATGTAAGAAAAATAATGTAAGAAAAAATAATGTAAGAAAAAATAATGTAAGAAAAAAATAAGAAAAATAATATAAGAAAAATAATGTAAGAAAAAATAATATAAGAAAAAATAATATAAGAAAGAATAATATAAGAAAAAATAATATAAGAAAAAATAATATAAGAAAAATAATATAAGAAAAAATGTAAGGAAAAATATAGGAAAAAATGTAAGAAAAAATGTAAGAAAAATATAAGAAAAATATAAGAAAAAAATAATATAACAAAAAATAATATAAGAAAAAATAAGAAAAAATATAAGAAAATATATAAGAAAAATATAAGAAAAAATATAAGGAAAAAAAAATCCAAGAAATTCCCTCCTAAGCCAAATAAATGAGCTCTTCTGAAAAAAACTGGGAACCTCAAGAACACCAAAACCATCTGCTTGGTGATGCCGAAAACCACCAATAACAATTTTTAAACCAGACAAATCTCTGCCCACAACCCCCTCCTGGTCCTCAGGGACTGTTGGGGAGCCGCCCCCCCGAGGTGCCCCCCGTGCCGAGCTCTCGGCCCCTGCAGAGCCAGGGCCGTGTCCCTTCTGTCCCTCTCTCCCCCCAGGCCACCACGGAACCCCCCAAGAAGAAGCCGGACCCCGTGACTTCGGAGACCGTGGTCATCTGGGGGCTCAGGCTCTGGCAGGTGGTCGGCATCTTTGCCCTCTTCGTCCTGGCAGTCAGTAAGTCCTCGATCCCATCCCACCCCAAAAAAGGAGGATTTGCTCCTGGAGGGCTCCCAGGGATGTCCATGAGGGGATTGTGGAGCGGGAGAGGCAAGGGGGGTGGTGAGGGAACCACCAGCAGGGATTCGTCTCATAACACACTGACCAACCAGTGGTGTCCCACAGGAGAAGACATTCCATGGGAATGGATATTCCATGTCCAAATCCACGCTGGATCCAGCCCAAATCCTGCCCTGTGTCCATCTGTGCCCTCCAGTGGGGCTGTCCCAAGTCCCAGCAGATCTGCAGTCACGGTCACATCCCAGTTACCATCCCTTCCACCTCCGTCCTGTTCCACAGGGAATCATGGAATGGTTTGGCTCGGAAGGGAACTCAAAGAGCTTTTAGTTCCATGCCACTTCCAGGAGCAGGGACAACTTCCTGGAGCAGGGACACCTTCCAGGAGCAGGGACACCTTCCTGGAGCAGGGACACCTTCCTGGAGCAGGGACACCTTCCTGGAGCAGGTTCTGGGTACCAAGGAATTCAGACCTCCTTTTTTAGGGCTTTCAGGACTTTGAGACTTGCTTTTTTTAGGGCTTCTAGGACTGTAAACCTCCTTTTTTTATGGCTTTTAAACCTCCTTTTTCAGGGCTTCTAAACCTCCTTTTTTTAGGGCTTTTAAACCTCCTTTTTCAGGGTTTTTAAACCTCCTTTTTCAGGGCTTCTAAACCTCCTTTTTTTAGGGCTTTTAAACCTCCTTTTTAGGGCTTTTAAACCTCCTTTTTCAGGGCTTTTAAGCCTCCTTTTTCAGGGCTTTTAAGCCTCCTTTTTCAGGGCTTCTAAACCTCCTTTTTTAGGGCTTTTAAACCTCCTTTTTTAGGGCTTTTAAACCTCCCTTTTTAGGGTTTTCAAGGCTTCTAAACCTGCTTTTTTTTAGGGCTTCTGGGACTATTAAACCTCCTTTTTTGGGTTTTCAGGATTTCTAAACCTGCTTTTTTTAGGGCTTCCCTCTCTGGGAAGAGTCTAAACCAGGTTCTCTGTGCCTTGCAACCCCCTCTCATGAATTTCCTTATGGGAATATCCCTCAGGCCACCTCACGACCTCACCAAAATCCAAAGGAAGGACCTTCTGCTCTCTCCTTGAACCACCCAAACTTCACACAGCAAAATTCCATCAGTTTGATACGAGACAAACGTGATAAATCCATTTCTTTCCCATTTTTTTTTTGTTGCTCTCCAGACCTTTCCAGAGTGTGTTAAGTAATTAATTTCTTCCAAACTCCTCTAGAATTCCTTTGACCCTCCTCCTTTTCCTGTTTGGAAACAGGAACAAAACCAGTTTCCAATCTCTGAATGTAAATCCCATCAATCTGGAGATCAAAGACCACCTCAAATCCACGAAAAATTGATTGCTAAAATCACAGCAAACACTCATAAAAACTGATTCCTAAAAATCATAAAATATCCTGAGCGGGAAGGAACCCACAAAAATCAGAGTCCAAGCCCTGACTCCGAAAATTAAATGTGTTGTGAACACCATAGAAAGGAAGTTACAGCCTGATTGTTTAAAATCCTGAAAGCAGCGAATTGGGAACTAAAATCTAAAATTGGGAACTAAAATAATTTTCAGGTTCTGTGTTTGGACAAGGAAACAAATAGTTTTGTGTGATTTAATAAATTAATATCTATTTTAAGGGTTGAGTTCCCACTAATTCACAGGGAGTTCAACAGAATCAACATTATCAGAGTCCTAAAATATATTTATTATTGGAGGAGGAGGAGGAAAGTGTTTGTAGGAGATTTGTGAGGGTTTTGTTGGGCTGAAACTCGGTGATAAATAGATTTAGTGCATCTCAACATGAAATAAAGTCAGTTTAAGGCTTTGCTGCCAACACAGGGGGAATCTGGGGACAACAGCAATGAATTAATCACAATTAAATTAATTAACAATTAATCCTCTATCATCCAAGGTGCAGTGAATTAAAATAACTGAGCTGTGTGGTCGTTTCTCACCTGAGAAAAATTGCTGAAGATAAAAAATGAATAAAGTAAATATATGTAAATGGCAAAAAAAATCATTAAAAATAAATATATAAATGAAAAAGTAAAAAATCACTAGAAATAAAACTATAAATGAGAAGGAAAAAACGCTAAAATAAAAAAATAAAATAAATCTAGAAGTGAAAAGCAAAAAGCACTAAAAATAAAAAATAAAAAGTAAATATGTACGTAGAAAGTAAGAAACCCTCACTAAAAATAAAAACAGAAAAAAATTACTAAAAATAAATATATAAATGAAAGAAGCAAAAAAAGCACTAAAAATAAAAAATTAATATACAAATAAAAAACACTAAACATAAAAAATTAATTAAATAAATTAAAAGCAAAAAACTCCACTAAAAATAAAAAAGAAAATAAATCTATACATAAAAAGCAAAAGAAAATCACTAAAAATAAAAAATAAATAAGTATATAAATAAAAAGCAACAAAACCCACCAAAAAAGGGGGAAAATTAATATATAAATAAAAAGCAAAACACCCACTAAAAATAAAGGAAATAAATAAAATAAATCCATATATAAAAAGCAAACGAAAATCACTAAAAAATAACAAATGGATTAACTATTTAAATAAAAAGCAAAAAAATCCACTAAAACTAAATTAAGTAAATATATAAATAAAAAGCAAAACACTCACAAAAACCCCAAATAAAATAAATCTATAAAAAAAAGCAAAAGAAAGTCACCAAAAAAATAAAAAATAAATGAAATATACATGAAAAAGAAAAAAGGACAAAACCTAAATTAAATAGATATATAAATAAAAAACAAAAGCCCACTAAAAATAAAAATTGAATAGAATAAATCTAGTCAGGATATTCAAGAATAAATCTTTTAAATGAAAAGCAAAACAAAATCACCAAAAAAGTAAATGAAATAAATCTATAAATACAAAGAAAAAAAAAAAAAAAACAAAATAAAACAACAAAAAACCCACAGTAAAATAAACGATAATAAAATACGAATAAACAATAAAGATCTCTAAAATTTCAATAGTAAATTTAGAAATAAATTGGAATAATAGAAAGCCGTTCTGGTATCATGAACATTCTTGTGGGCCTTAAAATGTTGTTTATATATAATATTTTATAAATAATAATTTCTAGCTAATAAAATGAGTGCACAAACCCGAAGATTTAGAGAAGATAAATATATAAAAATAGAAATAGATCTCGGATCCGAGTGAGGTTTCCAACTCTTGCTCTCAGCGCCTCCCACCAGGTGGCACCAGCACATCATAAAAAGGCAGGAAAACCATCTGCGATCCCAAATTCTTTTCCATTCCCGGAACAAGCCACCACCTCCCAAAATATCCAGTTAACACCAAGCAAGAGGGGTTTTGGAGATCCCCAGGGCAGGGAAAACAGGAGCCCATATTCCTGTTTCTCAGCTGGTGTAAATGAATGGAGGGACCAGCATCTTTTTCTACCAATTAATTATGGATGGGAAACTGTTTAAAATTCCCCACTAAAACCCGCAAATTCCATTAAAAAAGCCCCATATCCCGCAGTGTTCAAAGATGGCCCAAAAACCTTCAAAATTCCCCACTAAAATCCCCAGATTCCATCAAAACAGCCCCATATCCTACTAAAATAGCCAATGATTTCACCAAAATACACCCAAATACATGTAAAATACACCTAAAGTACCCCCAAATCTCCCAAAGTATCCCAGAATTTTCCCAAGTCCTCCCAGTATTCCCAAACTTAAAAAACCACCTCCAAAAAAATCCCAAATTCCATCAAATCCAGCCAAAAGACATGCAAAATACACCCAACCCCAAAAATCATCCCCAAATCCTCCCAAATTCCCCCAAATCCCATCAGAATACCCCAAATATTCCAAAATTCCCACAAAATCCATTCAGATCCCTGCAAATCCCATTGAAATAGCCCCAAAGCCCACAAAAAGCCACCAAATTCCCCCCAAATCCACCCAAAGCCCCCTAAAATGCCCCCTAAAATCCATCCAAAGCCCCATCAAATTCCCCCCAAATCCCCCCAAAATACCTCCAAACCCACCCAAATCCCCAAATATCCCCAAAATTCCCCGTAGAAACGTTGGATTCCACCCCAAAACCGGGGATTTATTCCCTAAAAAGTCCCATTTTTCACCTCAAAAATGCATCCCAGTCCTGCTCCCAGCTTTTAATTGGGATGCTGTGGATAAAAGGTTGGGAGAGCTCCAGCCTAGGAACTTCTTGCATAAAAGACCCCCAGAAGGAGACAGAAAGTATAAGCCATCAGGAGCTTTTAAAATTAATTAATAAATTCTTTAATTTAATTAATTCTGGGTTAATTAATAGCTCAAATTGCCGGATAAAACATCCAATATAGATTTTTTTTTCTGCCATGATTCCTCTCAATCTGCCCTGAGAGGCCTTCAGGGGAGACATCTGGAATGGCCAGATGAAAGAATAAGTGGGGTAATTAGGGTTTGCTTTGGATAAATAAAGATATTAATGAATTCATGAATTTATTAACTTATTAATAACACAGAAATAGGAGCTGACCTGTGGCCTCAAGTGCCCTGGATTTGCCTGGATGCTCCAGGTTTGCTTCTTTAAAACATTTCCTCGACTGTAAATTCCCTAAGGAGACATTTGTTGTGGTGAGAGGGCCGAGCCTGATATTTGTGTGGAAACAAATCCCTGGAAAACAAAGGTCTGGAGGGGAAAATAAGGCCAAAAAAATAAATTAATTGCTCCCCTGTGCTGAGTGCCTGGAGAAAGCAAAGGTCTTCCAGACTCTCACTGAACCCACTCGGTTCAGCTCATTAGGGAAGAAGATCAAAAGGCCACTGGATTGAAGGAATTCCAGAAGAAAAGATGGGAAAAAAATACAAAGGATATTTTTAGTTTAGTGGAGAAAGGCAAGGGCAGAGCCTGGGAATGAAGAGCAGGGGGATCCCAAGGAGAGTTGGGGCGGTGATTCCACACTGCCACACCCTGCTCCCC